CCCCAAAACCCCAAAACCCCAAAACCCCGTTGTATCAAATTAAATATAAAATTTGAATGTATTAAATGAATTAAGTTTGAGTAAGTAACATTAATTTATTATGAGTTCTGACAATAAGCATAATGAAAATGCCTCATCCCAGGCTTATCATATTATATTCCTACTTTTGAACGCAGGTACTTTGATAGTATTACTCTGATCAATTTCAAAATATTTCAAGAAAGGAATTTCTTAGAGAGACATTTACTTGACTGTGACACTAGCATTTATGGTAATAACTATGACAACAAGAATAATTACAACTATTATTGCGTTATTTTGATGAGAAGATCATTAGTTCCACATTTAGGAACCTGATTGCTTTAACTTCAGCCATCTCTTTATACCTTTTTGTTTTTTCTGTGTGCCTCTAATAGTTATTGCCATTCGATTCTTACACATCTCCAGAGTGCAAAAGTAGTTCAGAGATATGATTTTCAGGAATATTAGTTTGGGTCGAAGTCCAAAGAAGATTAGTTTCGAGAAAAGAAAGTTAAAAACAGCAATATATTACAGAAACATGTTCCATCTTATTTTGGGTATATTAATTGGACTTACTCTTACCTTGACTCTAAGTACGCTATTAATTGCTTGCATATTTGAAGATAAACCCGAATCAGTCTCAATTATAGTAAAGACATCACTAATGATTCAAATTGTGATACAAACATTCTGCGCTTTAGTTTACCTATACTTCTTTTGTATAATTAGTAAATTTGTAAAGGAATTTTTGCCAGATGGGCTTATTAGAGACTATAGTCTTAAAAGCACTAAAATACTGTTTATCACATTTTTTATTGGAATAATAATCAGAGCATTTGTTCTCTGGACTATTGTTTTCGATGTTATAAGCTAACTCGACAAGATATTCACTGGGGATCAAAGAGAGGTTATAGAGTAAATTGCTTCAGGTCTTCTTAATTTTACAGAAATTGTGATAATATTTTGTTTCATAACCATACTAAGAGACGCTAAAAAATCTTAACTAGTTATTTAAATCGAAAAAGAAGAATAACAAAGGAGGAAAACAAATATCAATGCATCTACTTCATTAAAGCATAAATCTCATAATTCTAGTAGAATATCAGTCTTATCATAGAATTTAATTTCGAATTAGAATTCGTAAATAGCATTGTACGATCATCGACTTTAGTCACCAGTTGCTTCAAATGATGGTATAAATTAATTTCCGGAGGAAAAATATATGAACGAAGATTTCGAAAAGCAGCTTGAAGTGAGTAGTGTAAATCTAAGTTTAGCCTAATATGAGACATCGGAATTCGGTGACTCAGTTATAGATAGTAATCAAAGAGAATATATCTTAAAAGAAACTGCTTTTAAGTTACTAGATGAGTGATTTGACTATCTGAATAAAGACTTTAATTAAAAGTTTAGATTGTTGTAGATATATACATTGCTTATAGTATTTTAATGATAATTAGTAATTATATTAAATTTTGTTTAAATAATTAGCTTTAGAATCAGTAACTCACTTTAATAAGCCATTTTGTTCATAGTTTCAATTTTTGTCATCTTGATAGACAGGAACTATAGAGTCCTAAGTTTTTCTATCTATGCTTCTTGTTACTACTAATCTGTTAATGTTTACTGAGCATCCACGGCAAGTTTTATAGTATGTGCTTCTCGATTTCATGTGTTTTGAGGTCGGTCCGAATCCAGAGTTTCTAAGAGTTTCATCTGTAAGCATTTTGTTTTAATTTATTCCAATATTTAATCCGGACTTTGTAAAAGGATTGCTCATAAGACTGACTAACTTTGGGAAAGATTTATATTTCTTAGTCTCATGAATTGGAAGTATTCCACTGCCTCCTCCACCATATCCCATCGTTTTATGAGAATACTCACCAGTTTTTCTTGATCTTCTAAGTTACTAGGACATTGATGCCTGGAGATGACTTCTTCTTTAAGCATCTAAGCTTTTTAATGTAGATCTTTATGCTACCATATTTAGTGACGAGAAAACCTATGGATTCAAGTCTAGTTTTTTATCATTATGACTTGAGAAGAATCCAGTCATTGTGGTAAACTATTCATTCTTTGATCTATCGATATATTTTAAATGTTCTCTGCTCGGAATCAGTAAAGATTTCTAAAAATTGTGAGTTCCATTGAACTTAAGCTTCTCCACACCCCAACCTATTGAACCAAGAGTACCTCTTTTGCCATCGAAGGTCGGATAGGCAGGGATGAAATTCAATTATTCCTTGCCTCTTTGAAGGGAGAGTGGTCTCGCTAAACTAGATCGCTCTGGTGGTTAGTATTACACCATTGGTTTAGCGACAAGTGATGTTTGCTATAACATATTGAATTAATTTAACTTATTTTTATTCCTTGAATTATGAAAATTGCTTTTAACGGGGTTTTGGGGTTTTGGGGTTTTGGGG